CTCCGTCGATTCTCTGTAATGGAGCCCCCGAATGCCAGAACGGATTTGATGAAACCAATTGTCAAATTGATACCGTAAATACAGAATGAAACCCATCGACATGTCGAGGTTAGAATTGCAGATAAACAACCGTGTGTGTAGCTGTACTGCAAAATGTCTTACATTCATTTATAATTTATCTCTCTTTTACTTCATTATGGAACAGCTTTTGGTGATAAGAATAAAAACTTAAATATGTAATCAATTTTCTTTTATTTTTCGTTTCAATATTTTGTGCTTCCATTCGTCGAATTTTAACTAAATTTGCTCATTTCATTTTTGTTGTGCTTGTAATATCAAATTATTCAAAGTTTGAATATATAATCGCACAAATTACTATCTTGAATTCAAAATCAAAATTGGATCATTATAAAAAAATGTGTCGCTTTTTTGCCAGTTCTTCGAATTGACAGCAAATTTTGCTGAGCAAAAAAAAATCTCAATTTGGAGCAAAAAATGTTTTGGAAAAACCCGGCTATTTCTGTAAAAACCCACACTGTTTATATTGAACATAGAACATGAAAAGACATAATGTCACAATGATTGTCTCGTTTTTTAATCATGTTTTTTGCGATAGTTTGCTTTACTTCCAGTCTTGAATACGGTGCTCGGTCCACAAAGTATTGTAGTTGTCGCTCAATCTCTGAGCTGTTTAACAAGTAATTCATTTAATTTCTCGAAAAGTTTAAGGATTTTAGTTGGTAAGTGAAGTGTGTTCGTAAAGTGCACAAAGAAATGATTTTTTTTAAAATATAATTCATGTATCGGCATGTAAAGATAGAGGTTTCAAATAAAACGCATGTATGAGTGGGAAAATTTCGTTTTCAATTTTGGTTAATTCATTTGTTATTATCTCGGCTCCGATTTTACACAAATTACTTTGAAGGTTTGCTAGAGTAAATTGGAAAGAACGAAAATAAATATAAAATGATCGTACAATAATATTTTTTTTAAAAAATTGGTATTTCCCAGCTGAATGATAATTTCGTCATTTATTTTGCACATTTTGTTGTTGCCTTTAAATGACAGGATCTCTTATACGCAATACAATTTAAAATTCACAAACAAGTATTATCAACCATCACATAAGCACTTTTGCTACAACATAAATTTCAAAAGCACACATTTCTCAGCAGATCAATATCAAGGGCCATTCGCCCATTTAATTCAATGCTATGATTATCAGACTTGCTACTAATATATTCAAATACAGAAATGATAATTGGTGTGAAATGAAATTCAAATAACCAGTTCAATTTCTTCTTAATTCGTCTGTGTTCGATGCGAAAGTTGAGGCTAAAAGTGTTTTTTCTCATTTCAGTTTAGTTTTTGTTTCGTCGTTGTAAAAATTGAAACCAATTGAATTACGTGTCAATTTAAATGATGAAGTCACTGATCGTGTTCATTCTATGTTTTGGTGCTGTTTTGATCAATTGCGCTACAGGTATTTTTCATTCAAAGAGACTTTTATATTAAATTTTTTTACATAAGGCGGCTCTTGAGGGTAATTAATGGAAATTTCTTTTTATAAAATCAATGTAATAATTTTTCCCAAAATGTTTCCATGGGTTTATTTTAAAAATTGTAACAGTCTTCCCGTCATATCATTCCAAACGACATTTTTGTCTCAATGATAACTCTCTGCTCGATATGAATAAAAAAAAATACTTTTAAATGTGCTTTCTATTGAATTTTGATTGAAATTACAGTTCAAAATGAGAGTTCGGCACCACCAACCATTTCTATTGTGATCCCTTTCTCTTTTAAAATTGGAGAAACTGTAAGACTACCATGTAATGCATACCATCATACAAAAAACGTAAGAATATTGATGACGATATATTGAGAAAGATGGATTATGTTAATTAATCATTGATCCTCTATTATCAGACTTCAATCGCCGTTGTCTGGCATAAGTTGGATGGATCTCTTCCGGATCGAGCAAACCAATCGGACGGTGTTCTTACAATCAACGATGTTCAGCTTGTTGATAGCGGTGTTTATGTTTGTCAAACACAATCTGAACCACATTATGAGCAACGCGTGGCAATAACTGTAGAAGGTAAACATTTATTATTATTCATTTCAATGCACAGAGCTAAAAACCATTAAAATATGATAAAAAAATTCACATGTACGAGATTAGCATCTAGTGAAATGATCAGAAATGAAGCTACCGGCTCATTAGATGACCGTATTTTTTTGGGTGATAAGGTTGAGGGCGAATTCCCTTGGATGGTATGGTTAATATTTAATTCATTATTCAGCCTTACAATATATTGATTTGCTTTCGTGAAAAGGTTGCTTTAGCTTACGTTGATGGTGACAGAATAAGCTTTAAATGTGGAGGCACCATAATATCAGAGTTCTATGTTTTGACAGCAGCACACTGCGCGACCGAGCAAGATCAACCGATTTTCGCACGATTAGGAAAGGTAGGGGACTGGGATCATGCACTTGATTCAATATATATATTTTTCCAGACAATATATTGAACTAACTGGTCAGTTGAGCTGACAGTACGTTAGCCAGCTAAATGGATCAAAACAATAGAAGCTATTGTTATAATGAACAATCACTTCTATTAAACCAAGAAAAGTGATTCATCATTAAAACAATAACGTCTATTGTTTTAGCCCATTTAGCTGGCTAACGTACTGTCAGCTCAACTGACCAGTCAATTCAATATATTGTCTGTATTTTTCTCATTTTTCCAATTAGCTGAAATTGAGAGATAAGGACACTAGTGGAGACACACACTATATAATGAGTATTACACGGCATCCAAATTATTCGAGTTTAACAAAAAAGCACGACATTGCTCTAATTCGACTTAGAACAAAGATTATACTCAACAATGTAATTAAAGCTGCAACGTTGCACAATGATACAGCTGATATAGCTTCTGACATAAACCTAACGGTGGCCGGCTGGGGCATCACTGATTTTAGGAGTAAGTTTTACGATAAAGCTATTAATAAAGTCTCCCAAGGTATAACGTAGCGCTACTATTGAAATGACACAGCGGCAAATGTCAACGGTAACTTTTTTCCACTACTCCTTCTTCTCTGCAAAAAAAGAGTCTTTCTGGGAGTAAGTTGTGTAAATTAATGAGTTACCGATGATGGCACCTTTACTAAACAATGCGAAAGGGGTTCTGATTTAAATTAATTTTTTTTAAATACTCTTTCTTTTAATATATTTTTAACTTTAGATATTTCGTCTCAATCAAACGATTTACTCAAAATTGAGATTTTTACAACGCCGTTAAATGAGTGCAACACTACCTATTTGAATCATAATTCAACAAAAGGATCACGGGAATTTCAATATGGCCTTAGTCCCGGGCAATATTGTGCAATGTCTCCAAATGGAACAAAGGATGGTTATAAGGATAGTTGTGATGGTGACAGCGGAGGGCCTCTTCTACTCATCTCCAATAATGTTACAAAGGAGGCCACACTTGTTGGAATTGTTAGTTTTGGTTATGGCTGTGGTTTGCCATTGCCAAGTATTTATACTCGTGTTGCCCATTATATCGATTGGATTACGCCAATTGTTTGGCCCAACGGTACAAGTGGTGCATGTGAAAAAAAGTGGCAATGCGATAACGGAAAATACATTGATGCAGAATTCCTTTGTGGTAAGTAGTAACCAAGTATTTGTGAATTTATATGCCCAAATCGGTGTAAGTTTCCATTGATGCAATTTATCGAATTTTAATAAAGAGTCTTACGGGAGTAAGACGAACTTTTCCGCACGGTGGTAGTTGCGTATTTTATTAAGAAAGTTCAAAATATCATTTGTTCGATTTTTCAAGCCATTGAAGTGGCGTAAAGTTCGAGACCAAAAAATATGTTCCAACCTTGGCAACGAAATATTCTTTAATTTAATAACAGAAGTACTCGAGAAAAGATTTTTCACACTTTCATGATGAACCCATTTGTACGACATTTGAAAGTATTCCATTTTCTAACAAAACACTATAAAAAATATGTCTGACGTTAATTTTGCCATAAAAATTATTTTTGAAACACTTTTCATAACTAAAATCACAAAAAATTTGGATCTTTGTATGGGAGCCATGTCTGTATTCTACCTAATGGCGTTAAACTTTGCACAGGGTATTTTTTTCACAAAAAAATAACACTCGGATATATATATTTTTTCTGCAGCCTCAGCACCTGCTTGTGGTAAAGATGAATGGCAATGCGATAACGGAAAATGTATTAATGCAGAATTCAAATGTGGTAAGTAGCTGCCATACATGAGTGAATTTATAAGCACAAATCAATGTAAAACAATTTAATCCAAAGGTGTTTTTTCCTAGATGGACTCTTGGATTGTATCGATTATTCAGACGAAACCAAAAAGAATTGTCCTTTGGAAAATAGTAAGTTTCCTTAATCATAAGAATGAATGTGTCGAACGGAGCGACAGCACCAAATGTACATTATGTGAATGTTTTTTATACATTTTTCGATCTTTTTTTGTAAATTTAAATGAATTCTTTGGTCTTTTAGTAAAAAAGTGTAAAGAAAGTGAAATAGAATGTGATAATAAATGCTATCCTTCGTCGATTCTCTGTAATGGAGCCCCCGAATGCCAGAACGGATTTGATGAAACCAATTGTCCCACTGATATCGATAACATCATAAATACAGAATGAAACTCATCGATATGTCGAGATTAAAGGTGCAGATAATGCTTTTGGTGATAAGAATAAAAACTTAAATATGTAGTAAACGATTTTCTTTAATTTTTCGTTTCAATATTTTGTGATTTCTATCGCCGCCGGTATGGGCGAAGAGTCATTGAAATTTCCCCAAGAAAATATAGAAATTTCCAGTTTCAAGACTGTATTTCAAAGATTCTTTGAAAAAGCACCAAAACACAAAAATACAAATACATTATAACAAAAGCAACCAGTAATCATCCAAGTAACCAATATGACTCTGACTCTGTAATGCTATATTTTAATTTAGCTTCATAAAAGAAATGTTTTTTAATATTAAATTCAAGTTATTATAAATCAGATCCATTTTTACACGTAATACTTTGCAGGGATTGTCGGATTTTGTTTTTCTCTTGTACTTTTTTATGTAAAAATCCACAAAAGCATCAAATTATGGCATTGAACAAAAAATGTCTCAGAGAAGAAGAACATCCGATAAGCCTAGTTAGATACTGTAATTAAAAAGAATGAATAAAAAATAATCAAAATATTCATTAGAAATTGTTATTTCCAAGCTGAATGATAATTTTGTCATTTACTTTGCACATTTTGTTGTTGCCTTTAAATGACAGGATCTCTTATACGCAATACAATTTAAAATTAACAAACAAGTATTATCAACGATCACATAAGCATTTGTGCTACTACATAAATTTCAAAAGCACACATTTCTCAGCAGATCAGTACATAGCAAGGCCATTCGCCCATTCGCCAATTCGCTGATATGCTACGATTATCAGAAACATTCTTGCTACTAATGTACTCAAATGAAGAAATGATAATAGGTCTGAATCAATGAAATAAAACTCAAATAATCAGTTCAGTTTCTTCTTAATTCGTCTGTGGTCGATCGGAAAGTTGGAGCTAAAATTGTTTTTTTTTTTTCATTTCAGTTTAGTTTTTGTTTCGTCGTTGTAAAAATTTAAACCAATTGAATTACGTGTCAATTCAAATGATGAAATTAATCATCGTGTTTATTCTATGTTTTGGTGCTGTTTTGATCAATACAGGTATACTTCATTCACGAATACTATCATATTAAATTCAGAGATTCAGTTTTGAAGCCTACGTCTGCATGAAGAATGTAATTTTGGAAATTTTAGGCTTTTTTAACCATATTTTCAACGATACCTTGTCAATCAATGACAATCTGTTGCTTTAAATCGCTTTAAATATTCTGGAGAAAAAAATAAAAATAAATTTCTCAAATCAAACAAGTTGGTGCATTAATACATTTTAAATTTAACTCTTGAAATGATCGATAATAATTGAAAACGACTAAAAATTTACATTGCGTGTGGCTGATAGTTGGGTGTTTGAAAATTCTTAAAGAAGAGGAATTTACTATGTTTATTCGAATATGAATCATAATTACAGGTGCACAAGATATACGGCCGGGTTATGTTTTTCGTTTGCAAACCCTTGTAAATAGCGGGAGTAAGGCCAACATTCAAAAGCAGAATGAAAGCGGTGTGTCATTCAATGGCGACAATTTCGTTGAATTCCAAACATACCACCAAAGAGTATCAAAATTTAATTTCCGATTTAATGTGAGACCACGAAATAACCAAAATAGTGTACTTTTGTATGTAGCTCAATCAAGACGGATTGGAGATTTTGTAGCACTTATTATTAAGAATAGTCACTATGAATTCCGATTCAAAAGCGGTAAGTTTGGGTCCGAAAATTCGCCTTTTTTGTAAATAAATACCATTTCAAAGCAACGAAATTTTCACTTATTCAGGTATTTTTATGGACATCATTTGGTCAAAAGGAGTTGAAGTGAACAAGTGGACGTCAATTTCATGTGGATATGAAAATGGCGTTGGTTGTCTTAAAGTGGGAAATTTATCGCAAATTAGCCAATTAACAATTAACCTTATACACTATATGGTTTGGGACACGAATTTGTACATTGGCGGCTATGACTATCACATTACAATGAACAAGGAAGTAGGAGCTGACAGAGGTTTTGATGGATGCATTTCAGACGTAAGTAGCACTATCACATTGAAACTTTACTATTTTAAAATTGAAAAAAAGCGATAAAGGAGTTGGTGATTTTCCTTCATATGAAGTGAGTCTACTGTCAAACGTCAATATATTATCGAACCCTTCTATGAAATGTACAGTGGCGCCACTTTTTGGTACTAAGTAATTCCATAGAAGGGTTCGATAAAATATTGACATTTGACAGCAGACTCACTTTTTCACGAAGTTCTTTGAGCGACGAACTTTTCAAATATTTTCAGTTCGAAGTTTTATCTCAAAAGATTGATATGCGTAGTGCCATAAATAGTGCTAATATCCAGTACTGTGAAGAAACAGTTGTAAGTTTATTGATTTTTATTCCATTTATCTGAAATATTACTGACATTTTCAAAATGTTTAATAGCCTGAAGTGCCATCAAATCAGCCAGTTCAGGAACATGAATGTTCAGGCCGCAATTGTAAAGTTGTTTATGTTGATCCATGTTCAGTACAGAATCCATGTGAAAACAATGGCATTTGCGAGAATAATGGCAACACAAAGATTTGCCACTGCCCGATTCATTTCACTGGAGAATATTGTCAGCACAGTGCACCAGTCACATATTCAAGTCAATATACAGGAAACAGTTACATTGAATTGAATAAATCAACTATAGTAAAGAGTCCCGCCGAAGAATATATTTCATTGGTTGTCTCATTCTCGACCATGGAACCAAACGGATTATTGATTTGGTATGGACAACCCAATGGCGTTGCACATAATGGACAAGATTTCATCGCTTTAGCGGTTGTTGGTGGTTTCTTGGAAATCACATTCCTCTTTAGTGGCAATGAAAGAAGTGTCCAAATTCATACCCGTGTTGATGATGGAATGCGTCACAACGCTGTTTTATATCGAAATGGTAACAGTGCTAGCGTAATATTTGACAACAAAAGGATATTCCTTGAAACATTACAACCAACGAAAAGCTATCTTGATTTTTCCGGCAACATCTTTATTGGTAAGATGAAATGTCATTTTGAATTTCCGTGAACGATTAAATGTATTCGATAACTTAAAATTATTAACTTGAAACAGGTGGTGCGCTGAATATAGGAGAATTTACTGGAAATCGTTACGTGCATGGATTCAAAGGCTGCATTGTCGTTTACGATGAAAATGTTCCCTTAAACATGTCCAATAGCGATGTCAGTGGATATAATATCATCCCTTGCTCCGAGTAAGTTTAATTTTAAATGGTTAATCGATGATTTCAACTAAAATTATCTATATTTCTTATTGATGGTCAAATCGATGAAAATAGATCATGTTTAGAAAATTCAAGGCATTGTGTTGATGGCACTGTGTTGACAACTACATCTGCAACACCAACTAAAGGTAAGCTCCTAATACAATTAAAACGATTAGATAGATGCTTGTCTCTTTAAATCAGCACTGATTAAGTGTTATTACATAATTAATAGTTCCAGTTACAACGAAATGTTCACAAGTCACTTGCGGAACCGGACTTTGTCGAAACACCAATTTGGGGTTTGAATGTTTCTGTCCATTAAATAAAACCGGTGATCGATGCCAATACTCTGAAAACTTGGATAATAACAATTTGTCATTCAATGGTCGCAGTTTTATTTCATTCAAACTAGCGAATTCATTCGAAAATATTCAATTCTATGTGAGACCACGAAATAACCAAGATAGTATTCTTTTGTATGCGGCTCAATTTCATTATAATGGAGTGGGAAATTTCGTGGCGCTTATTATTAAAGATAGAAAGTACGAATTTAAATTAAGAACTGGTAAGTTGAATGAGCCTCGATCCCATATGAAACCTTAACGCTATGCGCGTCAAATCGACGTTATTCGACGCTATTCTATGTGTATATAGAATTGTACAATATATATATGTTTTACAGTGCCTGCGCCGTCTACTGTGATTGAGTCGCAATCAGAGTATCATGATTTGCTGCTGCTCAGCATATAGCTGAGAGCTGAGAAGTGCTGAACTCTTGCGGCTAACGCATACGAAACGGATGCACGCACACATGCATTCTCCCCGTTTAAACGGTTATAAAAAGTTGATTGGATGTTCAATTCAAAACTCAAAACTTAGTAACCAGTTGAGTTTGAAATTGTGTTGCGACCGACATATGAGAAGCTGCGAGAAAAACATCACGTCGCATCCCTCGTTATTTTGCTTACGTAAGTGAAAGCAAGAGATGAGATGCGACGTGCTGTTTTTGCTCTCAGTCTTTCATATATTCTGAAAGTGTACGTCTAACGCATACAAAACGATGCATATTCCCCTTTCACTTCGTATATTCGCTGGTATAGTGTGTTACCGTTGTACCGGCAATAGCGTCAACGGCAGAACATACGAAGCGAAAGGAGAATATGTATTGTGCATCCGTTTCGTATGCGTTAGCCGCACGAGTTCAGCATTTCTCAGCTCTCAGCTATATGCTGAGCAGCAGCAAATCATGATACTCTGGTCGCAATTCAATACACAAAACATAACAGGCAACGCGCGCACATAAACGGAGTTCGTGTGTTACTGTCACATCGAAATTATGCCCCATAAGAGACTGTATAAAATGCAAAACTGTAGCACTGCTAGCGCCACTACGGACAACTATGGAGCTCTAGTCCGTTGGTTGCAACTGAGCAAAAGTCTTTTCACTATTTGGCGGCAACTTAGTGTAGATTACATTGTAATCCGTCGTGGCGCTAGCAGTGTGACAGTTTGGGCATAATTTCGGTACGGTTACTGTGTATAAGGCCGCTTGCTTGCACAGCACTGTAAAACATAATGTACAATTCTATATACACATGGAATAGCGTCGAATAACGTCGATTTGACGCGCATAGCGTTGAGGTTTCATATGGGATCTATTTCATTTATTTTTTCGCACATCAAGTGTGGGAATGGTAAGATCTATTAACGTAATTTTTTTTACTTATTTAGACTTTGAACTAGTCACCATTTATTCAGAAGAAGAAGTTGATATAAACAAGTGGACATTAATTTCACTTGGATATGAAAACAGCGTTGGTTTCCTTAAAGTTGGCAATTCACAAAAAATCATCCGACATGCGATAAAACGCTTCAATAATATTCAATTGGGGAAGAATTTGTACATTGGCGGCTTCGACAATCGCATTACGTTGAATATGGAAGTAGGAGCTAACAGAGGCTTTGATGGTTGCATTTCAGAGGTAATTAGCACTATTACAAAGAAGCTTTATTGTTCGTCACTTGAAAGAGAACTTCAACTATTGCGATTAATTTGAAAATTAACTTTTTCAATATTTTCAGTTGGACATTTTTTATCAAAAGATTGACATGATCAATAGCATAAAGGATAGTGCTAATGTGCAAAATTGTGCATATAATGGTGTAAGTGATTGTTATTCAATTTAACCACAATATTATTTTTTATTCACAATTGACAAATTGAAAATGTTCAATAGCCTGAAGCGCCAGTACAATCGATTCCACAATTACATTCGGTTCCATCAGTACAATCGAGTACCGAGGTTTGCAGCCCTGGCTATTCTGGCTACAATTGCGACAAAATTATTGATCCATGTTTAGCATACGATTTATGTGAAAACAACGGCATTTGCGAGAGTAATGGTAACACAAGTATTTGCGATTGCCCAATTCATTTCACTGGAGAACATTGTCAGCACAGTGCACCAATCACATTTTCAAGCCAATATAGAGGCACTGGTTTCATTGAATTGAGGAGATCTGCTCAGCTGATAGCATACAGCCAAAATACAATGTCATTGGGTATCTCATTCTCGACCAAGGAACCGAACGGTTTATTGATGTGGATTGGACAAATCAAGGGCATTGCATACAATGGACAAGATTTCATCGCTTTAGCTGTTGTTAATGGTCTCCTGGAACTCACATTTCATTTGAGTGGCCAGACAAGTTTTGTTAGATCTGATACACGTGTCGATAATGGTGTATTTCATGTTGCAATTTTAGAACGTCGTAGTAATCGCTTCACTCTCAAACTTGACTACTTATCGTTTAATGGAGAAACAATTTACGGGAACCATAACTTACTTGGCAACATATTTATCGGTAAGAAAAACGATTTCTTGCGTTTATATGGCCAATTATTAATTTATTTGATAAATTTAAACAGGTGGTGCACCCGAAATAAGTAAATTCACC